CAGGTTCTCACTGAGCCTAAAGTATCTAAAGGTCAGACAGAAAGTATCCTGTCTTAATAACTACAGACCTCAGTAATAATGAAATGCTTTGAAAAACTAATAAATACATAAGTCTTAACACTCTGGCCAACCTTGATCCGCTACAGTTTGATTATCAGACAAAAGATCCGTGGCTCTGCAACTTGTCTTAAAACACCTTAAAGGAAAAAAAACCTATTCCAGAATGTTATTATTGACTACAGCTCTGTATTTAATGCCATTGTACCATCTAAATTGGGGTTAAAGCTTAGGAACCTTAGTGTTTGTAATTCCATCTGTAAGTTGTAATGTGACTTTTTGAATGGCAGACATCAGACGTCAGACAGCTACTCATCTACCATAGAGTTTCTTCACACATGACTGTGTTGCAAAATACCATAACAGCATTGCAGAAATTCACAGATAACACCACAGTGTTTGACTGATGAATGACGAGAATGAGAACGCTCATAAGAAGGATGTTAGGGACCTATTCATATAGTGTCAAGATAAAAACCTCTCCCTAAAGGTTGAGAAAACACCAGTTTACATGAACAATGTCCCTGTCGACAGATCTCAAAGAACCTATCTAGAGCCATTGTTTGGTTTGCCCATTCTAGGTTACTGTAGAGATGTCATGATACCAGAAATTTACTAGTTGATACTAATACCAGTCATACTCCACGATTCTCTGTAAAAATGTCCCAATCAAGTTTTTTTTGCCCCTGATCCCCATTTAATATCTTTTATATGTCTGAGTCCTGATCAATAACCTACTAGCTCTGCAATTAGATCATCCTACATGTAACACACTGGACCCTTAAAACATGCGTGTCTCTGCAAGCACATACAGGGTGGGACTTTTACTTGTGTAGACAGGAACTAGAGGGTGACCAGATAAGACAGAGCAGTACAACATGTTATCCTAAGTCATTATCCAAAAGAACGTGCATTCTTGAGCTCAGATACACTTTGTTTCAACGCTGGCACAAACACATTCTTTGAGGCAACAAGGTGTCAAAATCTAGACTTTGATTAATGATAAATACCTTCTCCAGACAATGAATGAGTTAATGAATAAGAGCAACTGAAATGTTTCACTTCTCAGTTCATGATGCTTGCTCGCAAGTTATTACTCACTAGAGACTGCAAGCCAAGTACACAAGGAAGTGTGTATGATATAGCAATAAAGGTAACAATTAAATATTTTGACCATATTTAGATTTGAGGGTGTGACACCACTGGATAACATAACTTTATAATGACAACAGCAGTATATCTGTCAGTAGTGAACACAAAGAACCAGCTGGCTCACTCTGCCATACCACAAAAGAGAGAGCACTCACAGTGGAGTATTTTTCCATGACGTCTCTAATGTGCAAGCATGTGTGCAGTGTATTTTCTCTGTACTTTTGTTCAGAAAAGATTCTTGCATTATGATATCCCATAGGAACTTGCATTTTTACCTGAATAAAGAGGATTAGAGACTTGCACATAATCAATGACCAAACTGCAAAAAAGCGACACTTTGTAACACTTAGGATAGGCTACATAAAACCAAAACTACAAAAGGCACTCCTTATATGATTGTGAAACGAAGTAATACTTAAGAGAGCAGATGTTTATGGATAAATAGAATGTGAAACCTCAGAATAAACATTAATGTTATTGTCACCTCTACAACTCATGGACAACCTCCTAAATCTGCCACATTAGTTCAGACACATCACACATTTAGGAGACATTAATGAACACCTCAGAATACATCAATGGAAACAGCTTATCAGCAAATCAGACTAGCATTTAGTCTAATCTGCTCTTGAGCTCTCTTCTAAATAAGTAAAAAGGAAGTGCGCACTTTGGCTAAATGAGTAAATAACGACCTCTTTCTGCAACTCTAAATATAATTCCTTTAATTCAGTCTTGTTGTAGTATGTCAAGTTTACACCTAAATTAATGACTTTAATCACATAATCAGTCAAGTTCATCTTAATAATAAGAGTTGTTTCTAGAAGAGAACCAGCTCATAGCAGACTGAATCTGTAATGGGATACTTAGCACCTATTCAATTATTCAAATCAAAGGATGGGCCTAAGTTCAAAATGGGATACATATTACTACAAAATTAAACTTTTCACAAACCAGGTGGCTCACATAAGAAGTTGAACTCGACACCAGTGCACAGCAGATAGAGTTAAAATGCAGTTTACAAGGACAAGGCCTTTCAGCAGCTGTCAACAGACAGACAGGTTAGATCAGGCAAACACACACAGGCACTGGAAGACAGGCAGAATGTTGGCAACATATAGTGTGTTACAGAGCCAGGGCCCGGGCCCAGAATAAAGACACACTGACTGGAGCAAAGAGAGGGGTGGAGAGATGATTGATACTGAGTCAGGCTGAGGATCAGTTCAGATCAGTTTTGGCTGATTGGTGGTCCATATTTTGTAAGACCTGATTAAATATCTGTCATAATTATGTCCATAAACTGAAAACTACAGCATATTAACAGAGAATATAAAACGTGACAAAACATGTAGGTAAACAGATGCTCTTTGGTTTGTAGTTGAACTGTGACTTTTTAGAGGAGAGCCAAACTAGCCTTTTTACTTTAATGTGACTTCGCTGTCTGCAGTGTGAGGAGGCAGAGACAAATCTTAAGTTATAGAGATAAAGAACGCTAACATTTAACTTCGAGGTAGAGAAAACTGGCCATGTAAGAAAAAAGTAGGATCATCTTGATTTAACAGTGCGCACATTTTGCTTGCATATGTGAGTGAAAGTTAGACTGTTGCGAATGTGGTGCGCAGCGGTGCGAACAACCTCAGAGTTCTCACTAGCATTTCCCCCAGAGACCTGGTTCTGCACAATCATACTAGCTACTGTTTCAAAGTGTAAATATGTATTTAATCAACATTTAATATCTTCTGCTACGATGTATTTATTTGACTATGTATACAGAGCATTTTTTGGCAGACACCTTCTTTCTTTATCTCATTTTCAGATTGCAGCTGCAGATTGTGAACAGTGGATAGGCTGCCACTCAAAACCGTTTCTGTCTTCTCAACCTACAGATTTCAACTGGATCTTTTAGTTTAGAGTTTAGAGTTTTAGTTATTTATCATTTTAGTAACTTTCAAAAGTTTAGCACTAGGCATAAATAGGTTCAATACGAAGTTTGGATGGAATGATTGAGATTTTTGAGCCCTGCCATGTCCCTCCTCAGGATGAATTGCAAATAATCATTCACACACACACACGCACACACACACACTGATGGCAGCCATGCAAGGTCCTGGTATGACCTTCTGGAGCTCGAGTACACCTTGACACATATCGAGCAGCCAACCCTGTGATTAGTGGACTAGCCGCTTTACTTCCTGAGCCATAGCCGCAACATACACTATTTGCTCATTTTATGATGTGGAAACAAAAAGACAAGATGTGTATTTGTATTCTTGTTGAAGGTACATCCTGTGCAATAACAGCTTTGTTTTGTTGGATTTTGTTTTGTAAGGCATTAAAACTGTGATTTGCTTAGCTATGACATAACACTAACTGGGTCTAAGGTTGAGGAGGTGCAAGCAGGGCTGTTATATTGAACAACATTAGATCACGTTTTAACCTTTTTCTCAAATGTGTAACAGCTGTTCTTTGTGGCTTTAAATACAGTATGCCCCCATCAAGGGGTTACTTGCCAAACATTTGAGAACCATTTCTGTTTCTGAACTCAAGGCCACAGCTTTGGGTAACATGGTTGCTGTTGGGATCTTCACGACACGAGTGTCATCACAAAGAAACGTGTGTCAGGGATTCTTGTCTAAATTTATGATGCAGGCCCAAGTCTACCTGTTCTAAAATAGATTGACCCATATCTTAAGATAGCATCTTAGGCCCCATACAAACCCAACCATCAGTGACAGAAGGATATGGTGATAATCTCATGCTGACAAAAGGTCAACTTGCAACATGCCACTAAATAAGTTACTTTCTCTTTGCAGCTTATATAACATATTCAGCTCCTTCAGCTAAGCCAATGGGGTATCCCTGCAGTAATTAGTACTACTGGTTCATAACCATAATCTACGTATTGGGTCGTTTTGCAGAATGAATCGGCCCTGTTAAAAATCATTGCACCAACGGTAGCACAAGGCCAGCTGCTGAAGATTATCTGCCCTTCAAGGCTTATGTTACACTAATGTAAGAGCAAATATAGCTCACTGGCATGATTTGTTGGGGAAAAAAAATTACATAACTCCAAGAAGAGGATCAGTGTCTGTATTGTACATAGGGGGTAAATACCTCTATTATTATTACAGTATAGTTATAATAATAGTCTGTAGGAAGCTTTTATTATTTAGAATAAATTAACATTAATATATGTTTTAATACAGAGCAGCATTGATTGATGAAAGTTTTAGGTACCAAAATGTGCAAATATAGAACACATAAACCCCCCCAAAATTAAACAACAAAAGCTTGCAACAAAAGCTAATAGTGTCTGAAACCAGAACTTGTTAGTTTCAAGCATTCCGTGCACTTAAGTGGCATTGCAGAGAGAGAGACATAAAGACAGAGCCAATGTACAACATGTAACAATTATCAATGATCATCTTCAATCAAAATCTCAAAATCACTTTTTAGACACACAACCAAATTAAATTATTCTCCTTTATTTATAGCCTGCCACACGTTTAAGGGAAAGCAAGATGACATAGCATACAGGTGTCTGTCATGGCATTAAGATGAAAACAGTGTAAAAGATGCACAGATTTGATTGGCAAGTAGAACTTACAACAAAGGTCACTTCATCCAAATCACAAAAAAACATTTCTCACTTACCTCAAGTGATACAGTACTTAGCCGTGTAGACGTGTTTTGTGTTTTGTGTTTTGTTTTGCTCCGATTTTGAAATCCCCTGAAAACCCCAGAAACTTCTACTGTGACCCCAATACACGTGGTGAATATAATTTTGTTTGTGCAGCTCAAAGCAATGGGAATTTGAGCTATGACTAGCGATATCTAAACTGGTTATTATCATGTTATAATACTATATTATTCATCCATTTAACCATTATTTACTTTTGAAAGTATATTAGCTTTTATAGTTTGAATAATGTACTGTTTTTTAGATGAATACTTGTTTGTGTAATGTGGTTCCAAATAACAATATTTTCACCAACATACAGTAATGAAAGTAAAAGTGTAAAATACCCCAATGAGCAGTTAGCAACTTAAAATGAAAGCACATTTGCAATTTCTCTAAATATACATACTTATTAAGATCATAATACAATTCAGGCCGGCAACTTTACAAAAGAAAAGACAAACATTTAGGATCCAGTCTGTAACATTGGCTGTAAGGCAACACCATTTCTGTTCTCGTCACACTCTGCATCACTTTCAGCTTCGTTTTGGAGATTCTGTGTGACGCCATCCGTTGGTGGTGCAATAACATTGCGTTTTACTTTGAAAATGTCCCATCTCTCCGGCAACAGGCCGTGGTTGAACATAAAAAAAGCCAGTGAGGAAAAAACTAAGATGGTTGCCAAAGTGCAGAGCATGGACACTGTCCTGACAGGGGACTTTTGGACGTAGACGCCATCTTCCAATTTGCAACCGGGAAGATGAAGAACAACAGGAAGACCTAGAGCGTTCTCTCCCAACAAAATCCTCACACTCAGCCCTATGATGTAACCCACCATGGCACCGTAACCATTTGTCACTTTGAAGAAGAGCACAGACACCAGATGGGGGAACATAAGGGTGTAGGAGACGTCTGCTCCAAGAATCCAGAGGACCAGGGTGCTGTTGGTGTAGAACGTAATGGATGTCCCAACCAGACCCACCACCACAACTGTGAGCCGAATCACCCATTGCATTTCATAGTCTGATGCCTAGGAACATGGAGTCATACAAAAAGAGATTCATATTCTGGTATTGATTCGTTTGTGCTTGTTTAATTTGGAAAATGACAGGGCAACCTAACCCTCATCTCTAGAGACAGGCTGTGTTACTGAGCTGCCACCCTCAACATTTGGTACTGCTTACCTGTTTACGCAGGATGTTCTTGTAGATGTTTGAAGAGAACACAGAAGTTGCAGACAACAGGCCAGAGTCTGTGGATGACATGACGGCAGCGGCCACAGCTCCAATTCCAATGATTGAGATGTAAGATGGAGTGAGGTTTTGTAGGGTCAGGGGCAGGACCAAACTATACTCCCCACGGTCATATGGAGATGGAGAGCCGTACAGCGTTAGGTTCCAGTCTGGACAAGAGAAATAACAATTAAATACTTCACAATTTCCTCACCACAATATTAGATCCATACAGCATTCATATAGGAACCAGGGATAAGGTAATTCTGTACCAACTCGCACATGAGCAAGTAAGGGAATTATGGCAGTGGAAAAAGCTGTATACACACGACAGTGACAGCGACTATGACCTTATAAAGTTGTTATGGTAAATAGATAGCTGGATGTGTATTTACACATCCAGCAGACATGGAGCAACATTAGCCTTCACTTGGGGTCATGTCTGTGGCCACCTAGTCAAAATCCCTGAGGGAAATACCAATCTTTTTAGCTACTAAATGCTAAATGCTAAATGAGCACCAGATAGTCACTTTGTTTGTCTGGGCTGGTAGAGCACAGTGGGTTTTATCAGAGCTTTTTCACTGAGAACAGATGCCTGCGGAAACAGGGGTGATGAGAGCAGTGAGAGTGAGCCATAACAAAAACTACAGCTGAGAAATATTTCTTTGTGGGTTTGTCACTATGAGTTTCACACATCACATTTGATCAATTAACATAAAAATACTAGCGCAGCTTTAAATCATACTTAAATTATACCATTTACTTTTTCAGTTTAAACATAATTTTACAGACACTTATATGTCAAAAAAAAAAAAGTCACAGAAGGCAACTTCACCAAAATATTTGCCGTTTGTAATGAAAATGTGTTACCGCTCCGTGTTACTCTTTTTAAGAAATCATTTTCCAGGACCTATTCAGGACATTTCCCAGGAGTTTTCTTGACAATACGGGACAGCACTTGCTGGTAGGCCTAGTACTGACACATTTAACCCCAGTTTTATTCCTCCTTTTTTAATGACGCAGGGTTCATGATGAATTGCCTCAAGTTCACTACAGGTAGCTGGTCAACCTCTGTGGGATATGACACTTTATATGAAGCACTAGCTCGTATTTTTCTGCTGCAGTCTCAGTGGATTGGAGCTGCAGTCTCTGGTGAACTGACTACAGTTTTCCTCTAACCGTAAAATTGACAACTTGATGCGGAAAAGATTGCTTCAAGTCCATTCCACTCACAGCACACAGCTCATACTACAAAAAGTCCAGTTTCAAACTAAATATGCCCACAGGTTTATGTAGGCAATCTAAGTGAGGGGCTGATTTAAATAAAACATGTCCAGGACAATATAGATTATTTCTAGGATATTTAGTAATTCAAATTTCCAGGTGTTTCCATGACTTGAAAACTAGTATTCAAGGTTTTCTAAGGCACGTGGGAACCCTGTGCTAAGCTACACTTTGTCACATTAGCTATTAACCCTAAAGTACAGAGGACATATGTAGGAGACTTAGGAAGGTAGCAATCGATGAAGCGCTGTTTTCTGCTATATTACACAATGACTGACAATCAGTATTTTGGTATCAAGTATCTCCAGGTAAAAGTGTAAGTGTGTTAAAGGTCTGTCACCTTTAACATAATTCCCACCTGTGGAGGCAGCGACAGCCCCAACCAAGACTGGGGGGATTCCCAGTATGGCAATGACAAGGGCAGCAGCATAGCACGTTAACTGGGCTGTTAGTGGTGAGGAGGCAGACAGCGTCCTCTGGTGGAAGCTTTGAAATGAAACACTGCCAAGCCCCTAGAAAAAAAAAACAGGGAGAAGAGGAAGATGCATATTGAGGACAAGACTGAAGGAAACTGTCAGTGACTGAGTTCAGGAATACTGTTTAGACAAACATAAATATTTGCCCTTTGTATTTCCTTTATTCTCACTACACTTGGATGAAGGGCAAAAGCCAAGGAAACACTCTAGTAAGGTTACTGTTCCAGCACAGTACACACTGACAATTCAGACTCTCTCTGCTGACCTTTACCTCCATATACTATGTATGTCTTGCACTCCTGACAGTATAAGACATTCAGAGGCAAAGCAGGACTCACTGACTCACTTTCAGTCACTCATTCATTATTTGTCAGTCAGCTGAAATTTGAATTTGTCAAAAAGGTTTTTTGCTGATCTGAAAGACATAATCTTGTTAACACCACCATATAAGAGGGAAAATATTAAGGTTATGAGGAGAGCAGGGCCTGTAAAAGCTCATGAAATGGGCTGTTGTAATGTCAGCTACAGGTAGGTACTGGTATTCTCTTTTGGCTAGTCCTGTCCATGTCTGTTACGGACCACATGCTGCAATTTCATGATGGTTAAAAATGGGAAAGATGTTTTAGGAGCATAGTAAATATTTAATTCGACTTTCTTTATTCTTGCTGCAGTATTTAAAGAGGTATCAAGGTATCGTTTTTTTAGTGCTCAACCAGTGTCATCTGCTAACCCAGAACACTCGGCTGCAGACAACACCCTGATCGCCACCAACTTGTCTCTGGCTCATTCCAGCAAGCTATCCATGTACACCTTCGCACCCCAGTGATGCTTCAGCCTCTACCTCATCATCAGCACCCCTCATCACCGCCAGGTCTACATGTCGCAGCCTGCCTCCGAGTTCAACCCAGCGTTCAGAGCAACATTATGTAACTTTTCTACCTTAAAGCTACATTATGTAACTTTTCTACCCCAAAATAAGAGCGTCAAAGTCATTTTGATGCTACACTGTAATATGGTGAATGTCATTCCCACTCCTGTACCTTTGTGTGTACTGAGTAACTGAGTGAGTGCGTAATGGCACTACGTCAAACACCACCAACTATCTCACTGATTTTGGTGAAGTTGGATCATATTTTATGGAGAAAATATTTTCTGGCTCTCCCTCTGGTGTCCTGCTCCGCCTCAACGGACTGAGAGCAGTGCCGGCGCCACGCAAGAAGTGGAGCCAAGAGAGCTTTGTGAAATAAAAGGCAGCAGACAGACTGCACGCTGGACTTCTTGCTGTTGGACTAGTCAGAAATATTAGCTGGCTTACTATAGTGTGTCACTTCTTGATGTTTGGCTGTGTTAGAAAAGCTGATCATAAATAATGTAATCATAACAAATCAACACGTGTACAGCTGTCCATATTTATAACAGTGGTATTGCAACTGGGTATCTCATATAATGTTGCTTAACATCCATTATGCCTCAAACAGTGATTCTCCAGCAAGCATTTCTCAATATTTCCAATGAAACACAGGTTCTCAAACCATTTCCTGCACTACGTGTGGGAATACAGGGTACACTGCTCCCCTCCATTTTCTACCCTCTCCCATTCGCCTTGGTAACATCTTGTACCACGTTATAATGTTTCCTCTACATTACCTGTATCCATTTCAACTAAAATCCCTCTCATAGCTGACCTTGGCATTCCATGCACGTAATCCTGTTTGTATTAATTCTTTCAGATCATTGCCAGAAATGTAACTGGTCATTCAGGCCTTATAGGTACCCTAATTTAGTTATTATTTTCCCCTTGTGAGTCTCTCTGTGTGTGTGTGTGTGTGTGTGTGTGTGTGTCATCATGGCAAAATGGGGTCCTGGAGACACCTACTGTAAAGGGAAGTACTTTAGGGCTATAGGGTTAGAAAATGTGAGCTAAACCTGGGGGAATATCTGATTTTACACCAAGGCGGCCAAGTATTGTAATTACATCAACCTTTAAGAATCCACTATCGGTCGACCTCTCATTTATAGGTCTGTGGACAGATTTTGTCAGTGTGATAGCATCACAAACTGAGGAACGAGTTCGAAAATTGGTGTGGTCTGAGAAAGGTCCCGGTAGTAGGGGGTTATGAAGAAGGGAGAAATGGGCCATTGCCCTCCCCAACTCATGCCCCTAGCCCACATTTGTTTTTTGTCTTATGTATATTTATTGAGTTCAAAGTGTTTTTTTTTAATCAACATATAATTATGACCTGCTGTGTACTGTGTCTACTGAAGCCTAAATACCCAGGTATGTCCTGCATATAAATGGAGGGGGTTGTTTTTTAAGGTTATGATTGCTGCTTATTGTCCCCTTTTATTTTATCTGATATTATGGTCATGGCTGACCTCATTCAAAGCATTCTAGTCATTATTTATAATTACATCAAATATTTTTCCATCAGCTATGAATTTTCTGTGACAAATTTTCATATTGCATATTTATCTATAATTAGTTGCCGCCTGGTTAGGAAAGGAACAATATTTTCTTTTGGGGGACCGGGGGTTATTCTGTATAATCAATGGCATCATTACCGTGTCAGACCTTAACATCACGCTAGGGTCTAACCGTCAAAGACTCATCATGAGTGTGCCAAGTAAATTAATTTGATCATCATTGTTTAAGTCTCTGTTTCAATTAAGTCTCTCCTGATTGACATTAACCCCTAAATTCTGACTCTGAATTAAATGAGTTTGAATTCAGGTATACATTCCTATATGTAATAATGTTCATTATTTAATTCTGCAACAGTGTCATGACAGAGATACTTTCTATTTTTTGTCTTTGTCATGCACATGAAAAGCTGATTGGAAACATGATTTCACATCTATTTTGCCAAGAAATTGTCTTTCATCAGAAAAAATCTAGCTGAGGAGATCAGGTTTCTCTAACCGCCTTCCTAAATTAAATAAACTCATTTAGTCCCATTTACATAGTATTGAAGAATTAAAAATTAGAGGTTACTTAAGTGCATACGTGTAAAGGCATTGATGGTGGTTTGTCTGTCTCACTGACATGTAGCTGTGCTCTGACCTTATGGATGAAACTGGGAAAGTATGATACTGATAATATTTAACTCACAAGCATTAAGAAGTCATCAATCCACTTCCAGACGTTCTCCTGCTCCAGAGTGCCGAGCCAAGGTTCTTGGAACGTGTGGTTGAAAGCAGTGTGGGCAATGTTTGTAGATATGGGGTTGAGCAGCAGGAAGGGAATACACAACCACTGCAAATAAATATTGACATTGGGAAACTGAAGACCTTAGCACAACAAATCTATTATCTAATATATATATATGTGAATATAATATATTACATTCAATCCATTGTGTTTACACACCACACCTAACATTGAAAGATTAAAAAGGTGTGACGTCTGCCTTAAGGAACTTTCACAGCAGGACTGAAGTTTTTTGAAGGTGTGTGTGTGTGTGTGTTTATCTGTGTGTGTATCTACCATACTGCCAACTGCTGTTAACAATTAAATGGATTGTTTAAAGATTTTGGTTTTATACTAGATGTTGATATCTGCTGATACTGTACATCTTTAAAATGTGTGTACTACTGTACGAGGCACTGTATCTCACCAAACTGAGGAAAGCTAGAGAGAGCTGGATGACGTCAGTGTAGGCCACTGAGTAAAGGCCTCCTAACAGAGTGTAGATAATGGCCACAGCTGATGAGATCCAAGCAGAATAGGCATAGGGCAAGTCAAGTATAACACTCATAGTTGCTCCTGTCAGAAAAAACCCACAAATACAGAAATGTAAATGCTTTACTTGCGTCCACTAAAGAATGTGTGTTTTTACATGGTAGGTGTGTATGTTTACCTAAGCCAAGCAGAGTGCAGGACACCCACAGCACATCCACCAGCAGAGAGGGCAGCACTAGAGCACCACTAAGTGCGTTGCCATACTTTATCTGGAATGGGTCCATCATGGTGACGTACTTCTTGTCCCTCATTGGTTTGGCAAAGAAAAGACCACCTTGTGCAGATGAGATATTAACCATTATATTGTGTTTACAATTTGAATCAGTTACTGAAAAATACTTTGTGTTGCAAAGTGTCCTTTCATCATCTGATGCTGTGGACACAAGCGTTATTAATCAAGAAAATGATTAATAATTAATTGTATATAAAATAAGAATAAAATAAAATAGAAACTACTTCCTCCATGACGTGTGACTTGTCTTACCTATTATGAAGGACACTGAGTATTGTATAGGCATAAGAGCCCATATTAGGCCCATTTTAGGAGTGTACACCGCCTCAGCAACACCCAGGATAAAACCTCCCCCGACCCACGTAGCTGCAGAAGAATCACACACACACTTTATTTGAGTGTACTGTATTTTTCGCAGAATATATTGCAGATGATGTCTCCTGTCTGTTTTCTGTGAATACTAGTAGGAAATAGAATGTGGAAAATATATGATCCACACAGTAATCACATCTGCATCTAATACACTATTACTTCATCTGCTGCAGTATTTCTGTCAGACAGGTTGGAATGAAAGTGTTGACATAACAAAACATGGCGTTGAAAATGTGCTGTTATTTTGCAGCAAGCTAGTACTGGTTGCGCAAGCTTGGACCAAGTTAACCACAGCAAACTTGGCACAGTGGATATTATGCTATTATATTTTATTGGTCTAGCAATGAAATAAAGATGTAACATGTTCAAATGGAAATTATGTTTTGTCCATGAAATTCATGCTACTGTAGCTATCAACCCTACGGTGATTCACACCACACAGCCAACCACAATGAAAATAGCAGTATTCAGTGGACACGCTGCATCTGTGACTTGAATCATGAAATAAGTGTCCTTTGTCTTGAGTAATGTAATCCAACTAATCTGCCCTCTCATAAATTATTTGAGAGGGCAGGAAATACAACAATATCCACAGGATTGCTGAATTCCTTCAATGCTCAAGACTGAATTAATTGTTATCTCCAATAAAAATATACAATGAAATTTCTGACTGTGTTAGTCTGCACTCTGATGCACTGATCAACAATAAACTCAAATCAGCTGCTCCAAGAGCACAAATCTATGCAAGCTGATATAATTACCACAATATCCAGACAACTTTGTTGTCCCAAAATATGAGATAATTAACTTCCACAACCACTATCTTTAATCTGACAAAAACAAAACATGTCAAAAACTAAAGTTTCCCATTGAACAACATACCAGTCATGGTAAAAATCCCAACTAGTAAACTGATATTCCTGTCTCCGAGGAGCACCACTTCAGTCCTGTCTCCATGGCTCTTCCTCTCAGCCTTCCTGGACTTTCGGGCGGCCCACACCCCTGTCCCCAGGATCAGGATATAGAACAGCACCACGGCAACCACACCTGGGATGTTCAGTGCCATACTGGTAACTGTGGAGCTCACTGACAGGCAAATGGGCTGAATGGATAACAAATACAGATAATATACATGAGCCGAGTGTGCAAGGACAAAGGTCACAGTCAGGAACCTGAAAACATCAAACAGATAAAGTTCATTTGTCCAAAGCCAAGACTTACTCCTCACTAGTTAGCATTCATTCCGTAATGCCAGAGGAGCCTATTACTCAGCACTAATAGAAGAAAATAAGAACAACCCTAGGTTCCTCTTCAGCACTGTAGCCAGGCTGACAGAGAGTCACAGCTCTGAGACAAGACCATTGTCAGAATAGGCCACTCAAAAAGGTCATTACTAACTGTTAAGCCAGAGGCTGTCCTCATGTGGCTGGTGATGCACTCTAAATCCTGACTGAAAATCCTCAAATAAATTATTGTATGTAAAGAGTCACCACAACTACGTATCTGCGCGATCTTTTTTTCTAGAATCTGTAGAGAGAAAGGGAGGTCAGAAATCGGTCTATCAAGTTGGCTAAAACCGCCTGGTCGAGGAGTGGCGCCTTTCTTAAGAAGGCGGTTTTAATTCACAGCCTCACTTTAAAGGACTTGTGGTAACTATCCTCCGACAACCTAAACGAAAGATTACACTGCATATCCAGGCTACAAAGAGTGCCAATTAAGCGGCTAACCAGACTTCCTTTAAAGGCAGCCTACTTCCTGGGATTGGATCTAACAGACGGTTGATGCGGCTTCGATGAAAACGAAATCTATCTCGAAGTTAACTGATGAGATCGATAGCCGAAAACATTCTAAATACTCATATCGTGAGGGGGCGCCATTAGTTAAAATTCTTCTGATCTTGAGAGCCTTGCACATAGTTTATTAAGGGTAATTTGGTGACTAATTTTCTCCTCTAATAGTAACCAGTTTTATTATAAAAGAAGCCTTCATAAAGTCATTGCCTACTTAAATTTATGGGGATACAATGGCTCAAT